AGTGGCAAAATATGTGAAGACAATAAAGGAGGTACAAACTACCAATTATAAAATAACTAAATTATGGGGACAAATGTACAGCATGAGAATATAGTAAACAATATTGTATTAACCTTGTATGTTGACATGTTTAATACATTTATCTTGGTGAGAATTTCATGATGTATATCATTGCCAAATCCTAGATTGTACACCTGAAAATAGTATAAAATTGTATGTCAACTATACTTTAATTTAAAAAATCTTAAAAACAAACTTTCATGGGAATGAAATACTTAGACAAATTAGACAAATGATATACTTATAACTCATTATTGAGGCCATGATGCCACTGCTCTCAGCTCCTCCCCATATACCCCATGTCACACCTCTCACACATCATTGCTGGGGCCACACTGCCATTGCTCTGCAACTTGCCCCTGGACGCCAGCAGATGCCCTTCACTGGGCACACAGGGAATGGAATACTGCTGGTCTACAGCTGCTCTTTGGGGCCATATTTGGGGCTTAGACATACCATCCCAGGCTATGCCACTACTGTACCCCTGCCCACTCGATCCAAGCCCCCACCAAACCCTCTCATTCCAGAATCCATGCTGTTGCTGCATTCTACCCCCACCACACCCACCACCATCATGTCCTCTGGTAAGCCCCAGACCAGGACATTGGTTCCACGGGAGATCAGCATATGCCAGCACTTTAGACACCAGGATCACTGTAGCAAGCCTACCTGTACCTGAAGACCCATGTGCTAAAGTAGCTTCACATGCACATGTCCCATGACCATCTTTTTTATTTTTCTGAGTTCCCGTACCCTGGGTGGGAAGAAAAGAGGTGTCCCCCAAACTAGAGCTTCCTATCACAGGCACAAAAGAAGAACAAGAATACCCAGCAGCCTTCATTTCCAAGGGATCCCAGTATCCCTAGTCATCACATCCACCCACAGGTGACATCACATTCTTGGACACAGGAGACCCCTGTGATGTGCACCAATGTTGGACTCAGCTGATACATTTCACATAGACTATGCCACTGTTCCCTCCCAGTAACCAATGATATTGCACCACGCACAGCCTGCAACTGCAGAGGCATCTTCAGGTGAAAGTCTTTTCCCACTGAAGCCAGTCTGAGCAGGTTGGAAAAGGTGACTATACCTGCAAATGCACAGATATCAATGCAATGCCATTAGAAACATGAAAAAGCCAGAAACATGACACCAACAAGGGAAAACAATAATTTTCCAATAACTGATCCCAAAGAAATGGAGACTTATGACACCAGAAAAATAATTCAAAATAATTATTTTTAGGAAGCACAGTGAGATTTAAGAGAAAAAAGAGAGAGAGCTCAGTGAAATAAGGAAAACAATGCATGAACAAAGCTGGAAGTTCAAAAAGAGATAGAAAACAAAAAAGAACCAAACAGAAATTCTAGAATGCAAATGAAATAGAAAGACTCAATAGTAGGCTCAATCAGGCAGAAGAAGAATCTGTAAAACTAAAGGCAGATCTCTTAACATTATCCCATCAATGGGGAAAAAGAAATTAGAATTATAAAGAGGGAAGAGAGACTGCTTGAATTATGATAAACCATCAAGTGAACAATATTTGAATTATGATCATACCATAAGGGGAAGAGAGAGAAAGGGCAGAAATCTTGATTAAAGATACAGTGTCTGAAGTATTCCAATTATGGAGAGGGACATGGCCAGCCAGGTACAAGATGCTCAAAGATCCCCAAAGATTTGATCCAAACAGATTTTTACAAGAAACATGATAATCAAATTATCAAAAATCAGAGAAAATTCTGAAAGGAGCAAAGGAAAAAGACTCAGCACATAAAAAGGAATCCAAATGATTCCATGAGCAGATTATTCAGCAAAAATCTTGTAGGCCATGAGAAAGTGCTATGATATATTCAAAATACACAAAGAAAAATACTGTCAGCCAAGAATATTTTACCCAGGAAAACTGTCCTTCAGAAATGAAGGAGAGATGATGATATCTCCAGAAAAACAAAATCTGAAAGAATGTACTACTAAACCTGTCTTTCAAGAAATGCTATAGAATGCCCTTCAAGCTGAAACAAAAGAACACTAATTACTAATGAAAATATAATGAAGTATAAAATTCACTGAAAAGGTAAATATATAGTCAAATTTAAAATTTACTAATGCTACAATAGCAGTTTGTATATCACTGTGATTCAAGAATGCAGGTTGTAAGATGAAGATGTTAAAAAATATATATGTCTAAAAATGTTATTAGTGGATACACAATTTAAAAAGCTATAAATTGGTATGTACCAACATATGTGGAGGGGCAAAAGTAAATGGGTAGAGCTTTTTTATGCAATTGAAGTTAAGGTGTTATTAGCTTAAAATAAACTGTTTAATTATAAGATGTATTATCACAGCCTAAATAGTAATGACAAAGCAGACACCTACAGTAGATAAACAAATAATAAAGAGAAAAAGAATAAAAATATACTGCCGAAAACATTGCCAATTCACAAAGCAGGAACAGAAGTAAGGAATAAACTACAAAACAACCAGAAGACAATCAGTGACATGGCAGTAATAAATCCTTACTTAGCAACAATTATTCTAAATGCAGCCGTTTGAAATTTTCCAATTAAAACAGAGAGACTGTCCATATGGAAGAACACAAAAGCCAACTACACTTTATCAGATAGAGCTTTACTTAAGATATGAAGACTCGTAGGCTGAAAGTAAAAAGACAGAAAAAGACTTTCATGAAAATGGATACAAAAAGAGAACAGAGGTAGCTCTATTTACTGAAGACAAAATAGACTTTAGACAAAAAATGTAAAAAGACGTAAATGTCATTATATAATAAAAATTGGGCCAATCCATTAAGAGGATAAACAAAATATGTATCCATCCAATACTGGAGTACCTAAATATATTAAACACTTATTAACATACCTCAATGCACATATAGACTGCATGCAATAACAGAAGGGCCTTCAACACCCCACTTTCAACAATGCATAGATTATTCAGACAGAAAAATCAAAAAGGAAATAATGGACTAGAACTATACTTTGGAACAAATGGACCTAACAGACATACAAAATATTCCATCCAACAGTAGCAGAATGCACATTCTTTGCAAGTGCACATAGAACATTCTGTGGGATAGATTATATGTTACATCATAAAACAAGTCTTAACAAATTTAAGAATATTGAAATCAAATCTACCTCTCTATTTCTAGCCTCAATGGTATGAAACTAGATAACAACTACAAAAGGAAAATTGAAAAACTGACAAATATGTATAAATTAAATAACATCTTGAAAAACAACTAGTGAAAGAATAAATGAAAAGAAATATAAAAAAATATCATGAGACACATGTAACCAGAAATACAGTATACCAAAATTTATGGGATGCAGCAAAATCAATTTTAAGAGTGAAGTTTGTAAAAAGACATGCCTACTTTAATAAGAAAGAAATATCTCAAATAAACAAAATAACTTAACTTTTCAATGAGCTAGAAAAGAAACCAAAGAACCAGATGTTAGCAGGAGGAAAGAAACAACAAAGATTAGAGCAAGAATGAAATAAAAAGTGACAAGTAAGACATTAGAGATGATTAACTAAACAAAGTTGATTTTCATGAAGATAAACAAAACTAAAACTTCGAGCTGTACTGAGTACAAAAGACAGAGAACACATTAAAAGAATCATACATAAAGATTAAGGAAAATTCTTCCCTGGGATACAAGATGGTTCAATATTCACAAATCAATAAATGTGATACACACTATTAACAGAATGAAGGATCAAAAGAAAATCCTATGATCATCTTAATAGATTCAGAAAGAAGCACTTTACAAACTTCAAACTCCTTTCATATTAAAACTCTGAGTAAATTAGGTATAGAAAGAATTTACCTTTTCAAGAAAATTATATATATAAAATGCAATATTATTTTCATATAAAAGGAAGGACTTTATGCCATTTATGACAATACAGTTGGAAATTGATGTCATTATGCTCAGGAAACAAGTGAGGCAGAGAACAAACACTGTATGATACCAATTTCTGTGGAATTTAAAAAGAACTCATAAAAACAGAGTAGATTGGTGATTGCAGAGCTGAGACAAAGGAAGAAATGGATGAAGGTACTAATAGGGCACAAATATCCAGTTTTAAGATAAGTTCTAGTGATCTGATGTACACCATGGTGACTATAGTAAAAAATACTGTATTTCATTCTAAAAAGGTGATAATTGAATAAATACTAAAATTCATCACAAAAAATGTTAACTAGGTGACATGATGCTTATGTTAACTATACTGTATAGCAATTTCACAATACGTAAGTGTAAGCAATCATCACATTGTTGACCTTAAAATGCTTAATGTATCAATTATATATCAATAATGCCAGAAAAAGTGTTTAAAAATACACTTTGCTAAGTAAAGTAGCCTGTCATAAAAAGCATGTGTAACTTCATTTATATGATATGTTCAGGTTACGCAACACTCTAAGACAAAAGTAGATTAAAGGTTGGCCAGGGCTGGAGATTCAGAAAAAGGGATTTCCATCCACAGGGTAAAAGTTTCTTTTGGGAGTCAAGAAAGTGCTCTAAAATTGATTGTCATGGTGGTTGCACAATTCTGTGAAGACACTGTGAACTACTGAATTGTACACTTTAATTTTGGCAATTGTACAGTTTGTAAATTACATGTCATCAAAGTTTTTATACACACAAAGCAAATTATCTCTTGAACCATCATTTCAAGGAATTCTGATTCAGCTGTACCCTAACTTATCTCTAGTTCTTGATTTAGGGAGAATACAGACACAATCACATTTCACTTGCCACCTTTCTTGAAAAACTTCTAAAATAAATTACATAAGATAGATCACTTGCATATTCAAGGTCATTAACTCTTAGCTAGATGGTAGCTGTTAGAATAAAAAAAAATGAAGCACATTTGCTTACAAGCAAAATCATCTACCTTTTTTTGCTTTTTCCACTTGCAATCCAAATGTTGTTCATATAATGTATTTACCTGGAGGTGGAGGAGTTACATATTAACTTCCTGACTGATTTCTCCCTGATAGAAGCACCAGCAATGCTACGCGGGGACAGAAATTTGAAGAGAGACATTGTTCTCCACCAGGATGTCTATGAAATGGATTTCAGTTCCTCTGCTGCTACAGATGGCTTGTTACTTCAGCTCTGGGAGCTGTGGAAAGGTGCTGGTGTGGCCCACAGAATACAGCCACTGGATCAACATAAAGACAATGCTGGATGAACTTGCCCACAGAGGCCATGAAGTGGTTGTTCTGGCATCTTCAGCCTCCATTCTTGTTGATCCCACCAAATCACCTGCTATTAAATTTGAGATTTTCCCTACGTCTTTAACCAAGGTTGAATTTGAGGATATATTTGGACAAATGGTCAGTAGATGGACATATGACCTTCCAAAAGAGACATTCTGGACATATTTTTCACTAATGCAAGAAATTGTGTTGAAATATAGTGATTGTATTGAAAAGCTCTGTAGAGATGTAGTTTTGAATAGAAAACTTATGACCAGACTGCAGGAATCAAGGTTTGATGTCGTTCTTGCAGATGCCGTTGGACCCTGTAGTGAGCTGCTGGCTCAGCTACTCAACATACCTTTAGTGTACACAGTTCGTGCTTCTCCTGGCTACACATTTGAAAAGTACGGTGGAGGCCTTCCTTTCCCTCCATCCTATGTACCTGTTATTTTGTCAGAATTAAGTGATAAAATGACATTCATAGAGAGGGTAAAAAATATGTTGTATTTGCTTTATTTTGACTTTTGGTTCCAAACAGTTGATTTGAAGAAGTGGAATCAGTTTTACAGCGAAGTACTAGGTAAGTCATTTTTTAGTAGGTATTAATGTGAAGTCTCAACTTTCCTAGTGACTTGGAAGGTACATTTGTATGAAGTCAGATAACTTTGTCTTTTACAAATAAAATGATGAAATAGTAATATAAAATATTTCAATATCACAAATATTATGGGAAGGCATATATAATAATAATATTTATATATATTTTTATACTAAGTACATACAATACAATGCACAGATCTTAGTAGACAGCTTGATGAATTTTGACATGTGTATACACTCAGGTAACCTTTGCTCAGACCAATATATCAAACATCCTCACTCAGTTTTCCCCTTCGCCTATTTCACCCTTTCCCACACCACTCTCTGCTATGGCAACTACAGGTCTGTTCTCTGTGACTGTAAGTCTGTTTCTGTTTAGATCATTTGTACATTTGTTTTATTTTTTATATTACACACTTGAGTGAAATCATAGAGTACTTGTCTTTGACTTATTTTGCTTAGCATACTACACTCTAAGTCCATCCATGTTGCTGCAAATGGCACAAATAAATTATTTTTTGTAGCTGAGTAATATTGTACTGTGTATGTGTGCCACATCTTTTTTACCCATTCATCTATGGACATATAGGTTGCACCAATTTTTTGGAATGAACATAGTAATTCATATATTTTTTAGGATTAGGGATTTTGTTTCCTTCAGATAAATTCCCAGAAGTAGAATTGCTTGACATTTTTATTTTTAGTTTCTTGAGAAACTATCATACTCCTTTCTATAGTGGTTGCAACACATTGCAAACCCACCTGAAGTGAATGAGGTTCCCTTTCATCCACATCCTTGACAACACTCCTTATTTCTTGCCTTGCTAATATTAACCATTCTGATTGGTGTGAGCTGACATCTCATTTTGGTTTTGATTTGCATTTCCTTGGTGATCAGTGATGAGCATTTTTTCATGTGTCTGTCAGCCATCTGTGTTTCTTCTTTGAGATGCCTATTCAGGTCCTCTGCCCGTTTTTAATGATATTATTTGTTTCTTTGGTGTTGAGTTGTACTAGTTCTGTATATATTTTGGATATTAGCCCCTTAGTAGATATATCATGTGAAAATATATTCTCCCATACAGGAAGTTACGTTTTCATTTTGTTGATGGTTTCCTTTGCTGTACAGGAACTTTTTAGTTTGATGTAGTCCCACTTGTTTATTTTTGCTTATATTTTTCTTGCCTGGGAGATGTAGGCAGAAAAACATTACTAGCACTGATATTCAAGGATTTACTACCTATGTTTTCTTCTAGAACATTTATGGATTCATGTCTTTGATATGGATTTATGGATATATGTCTGCTCTATTTAGAGTTTGTATTTGTGTATGATGTAAGACTGTAATCCAGTTTCATGCTTTCGCATGTAGTCACCCAGTTTTCCCAATACCATTTATTGAAAAGACTATCTTGTCCCCATTGTAATATTCTTGCCTCCTTTGTCATATATTAATTGACGATATAGGTGTGGATTTATTTCTGAGCTCCCATTCTTTTCCACTAGTCTATGTATCTGTTCTTGTGACAGCACCTTATTGTTTTGATTATGTAGCTTTGAAGTATAGTTTGAAAGCAGGCCCTATGATACCTACAATTCTTTCTCAGTCTTTGTCTATTAGGGGTCTTGTAGTTCCATACAAATTTTAGGATTATCTGCTCTAGTTCGGTGACAAATGCCATTGGTGTTCTGACAGGAATTGCACAGAATCTGTAGATTGCTTAGGGAAGTATGGCTATTTTAACCATAGTAATTCTTCCTATCCATGAGTATGGAAAACTTTCAATTTATTTTTGTCTTCAATTTATTTCATCTGTGTCATAGTTTTTAGTGTACACTTTTTCACCTCCTGGATTAAATTTATTTTAATCAAGATATTTCATTATTTTTCAATTAGTTCATTATTTGTATATAGAAACAAAAGATTTGTATATATTGATTTTGTATTGTGAGACTTTACTGAATACATATATTAATTGCAGTAGATTTTTGGTGGAGTCCTCAGGGTTTTCTATATATAATGTCATGTTCTCTGCTGATAATGACAATTGTACTTTTTCCTTATCAGTATGTATGCCTTTATTTCTTTTCTTATTTGAGTACTATAGATAGAACCACCAGGGCTATGTTGAATAAAAATTGTGAGCATAGGCATCCTTACCTTGTTACTGATCTTAGAGGAAAAGCTTTCAGCTATTTGCCATTAAGTATGATGTTAGCTAAAACCACAGTACTCTTAAACATTTTGGCTACATTATCTCAAACTTCTTTCTTAAAATTCCCTTGTACATTCAAATTATATTGTTCTCATCTCCTTTATCTTTTGTTTATTTTTTCCCTTCAGGACGACCAACTACCTTTTACGAGTTAATGAGGAAAGCTGATATGTGGCTCATTCGAACCTATTGGGACTTTGACTATCCTCACCCACTCTTACCCAATGTTCAGTATGTTGGAGGCCTCCACTGCAAACCTGCTAAACCTCTGCCTAAGGTACCTGATTCCTGTTTTGTTTTGTTGTATTTGCTTTGAGGCATTTCACCAATATTCTTGTTTAAAAGAAAGACCACTTTTCAACAATATGAATGTGTGTCCAAACAATATTTGCAGTCAAACCTAACACTTCTTTGCTGTCATTCCAGCATTTAAACAATTCCTCATTTGAGATTCTAGGGTCTGATATCTGACAGCATTAAAGGCATTGTGTAGCCTATTAAATCAGGTATTTTCTACTATATACCATATCTGGACAAAATCTCTGTAAAGATCTCTTGGGGAACATGGTTTCCAATGTATTAGCTGACTAACAAAATGAGAATAGAGAAAATTTACACTGCATATATGATAAAGGCCATAAATTATGAATACTTAATAAATACCAAATAATTTCTACTACTGATATCTGAAAACTGCCATAGGTAAAATTGCAAAAGATTCTGTTAGCATATTAGATTATGCTCCTCATGGGAAAATGTAATAGTCTTATAAATTGATATTATATCATTAAGAAATAATTTAAAAACAAGCATCTTTTATTAAATTATTTCATGGTCTCTTAAACATGTTTGGCAGCAAGAGAAAAGTAAGATCTCATTCAAAGGTTAATCCAGTTCAATTTTGACTACAAAACGATTAGCTATATGTGGTAATTATCACAAGATCTAAAATTAGTAAATGTTCTATTCAATCTAACCCTATTGGGATTTTTCCAGCTTTATTGAAGTATTACTGACATATCAAATTGTAAGGTACATAAAGTGTACATCATGGTGATTTGATGTACCTACACACTGTGAAGGGATTCCCCTCATGTAGCTTATTAACACATCTATCACCTCACATATTTATCTTTTTTATGTGTAGGAGAATATATAAGTTTTACACCAAGCAAATTTCTATTATATAATACAGTGCTGTCAACTGTACTCACCAGGTTATACATTATACCCCCAGACCTTATTGACACTGCAGATGAAAATTTGTGATCTTCGATCAACCTCTTATTTCCTTTACCCTCCAGTCCCAACCAAACACTTTTCTTCTCTCTTTTTCTGAGTCTGACTTTTTTTGTAAGGGTCACACATATAAGTAATAGTAAGCAATATTTGTCTCTGTTTGGCTTGCTTAACTTAGTATAACACCTTCAAAGTCCATCTGTGTTGTCACCAATGCCGTGAATTAATTCTTTCTCATGGCTGAATTATATTCCTCTGTGTGTGTGTGTGTATCATGTCATATTTCCTTCATTTACTAATCCATTTACAGACAATGAGGTTGTTGTTAGCTATCTTGTCTATTTTGATGTTTCACTAATGATGGGAGTGCATATATGTTTTCTATATCCTGTTTTCATTTCCTTTGGATACCCAGAACTAGAATTACTGGATAATAGGATAGTTTTTATTTTAATTTTTTGAGGAAACTCCATACTGTTTTCCATAGTTGCTGCACCAATTTACATTCCCACCAATAGTGCACTGGAGTTTCCTTTTCTTCACATCCTCACCACAACAAAGAAAATTTGTTATCTCTTTTCTTTTCGATGATAGGCATTCTAACAAGAGTGAAGCAATATCTCTGTGGTTTTGATTTTCATTTCCCTGAGGATTAGGTATGTTAAGCTCAATTTCATGTACCTGTTATCCATTGTATATCTTCTTTGGAAAATGTCTATTCAGTTCCTCTGCCTATTTGTCAACTGTATTATTTGGTGTTATTTTTATGGGTTCTTTATATAGTTTGACTATTAACCCTATATCAGATATATGATTTCCAAATATTGTCTCCTCTGTAGGTTGCTTTTAATTTTTTTCAAAATTTCCTTTCCTGTGCAAAACGTTTTAGCTTGAGATAGGCCCACCTGTTAATTTAGCTTTCATTGCCAGAAAGGCTTTTTTCCTTTCTGATAACTCATTGTTAGTGTATAAATATTCAGTGGAATTTTGTATATTGAGTTTGTATCCTGGAACTTTACTGAATTTGTTTTTATTAATTCTAACAGATTTTGGTGAAATCTTTAGGGTTTTAAATATATAATGTCATATTTTTTGTAAATAGAGACCATTTTACTTGTTCCTTTCCAATTTGTATGCCTTTCATTTCTTTTCCTTATCTAATTGCTCTAGCTTGGGCTCCCAGTTGCATGTTGAATAAAAGTGGCAATAGTGAGCATCCTTGTCTTGTTCCTAATCTTAGAAGAACAGCTTTCAGTTTCTAACCATTGATTATGGTATTGAGTGTGGGCTTGTCATATATGGACTTTATTATGATGAGGTAGGTTTCCTCTAAACCCAGGTTGTTTAAAGTTTTCATCTTGAGTGGATGTTGGATTTTGTCAAATGCTTTTTCTGCCTCTAATGAGATGATGTGATTTTTATCCTTCATTCTACTATTGATATATGGATCTTGAATCATCCTTGCATCCCTGGAATAAATAAATCCCACTTAGACAGGGTGAATAATCCTTTTATCTCCTCTTTCACTTTTTGAAAAAACTTTTTGAAAAGGATTGAAAATAAAAAAGGATTCTTATTTAAGTATTTGTTGAGTTCAACATGAAGCTGTCTGGCTTTGGAATTTTCTTTGTTGGAAGATGTTTTATTACTGACTCAGTCACCTTACTAGTAATACTCAGTTCATATTTTCTATTTTTTAATGAGTCAGTCTTTGTAGGTTGTATGTTTCTAAAAATTTATTCATTTTACTAGGTTGTCGAATATATTGGGATTCAATTGCTCTTGTTAGTCTCTTATGTCTCTTATTCTTTGTATTTGTGTGGTATGAGTTGTGATATCTTATCTCTAATTTGAGATTTAATTTGTTTGAGTCCTGTGTCTTTGTTTCTTTTGTATGTCTAGCTAAAGGTTTGTCTATTTTGTTTATGTTTTCAAAATAAGAGAACTTAGTGCCAGCAATATTTTCTATTGAATTTTTAGTCTCTATTTAATTTGTGATATTTGTTATTTCCTTCCTTCTAACTTTGGGCTTAGTGTGTTCTTTATCTAGTTCCTTGAATGTAAAGTTAGGTGATTTATTTGATATCTTCCTTTTTTCTTATTGTATTTATCACTGTAAACATTCCTCCTAGGATTGCTTTTGCTGCATCCCATAAGTTTTGTTATGTTGTATTTGCATTTTCATTTGACTCAAGATATGTTTTATTTCCCTTTAATTTATTCTTTGACCAATTGGTTGTTCAGTAGTATGTTGTTTGCTCTCCACATATTTGCAATTTTCCTGTTTTCTTATTTTAATTTATTTCTAGTTTTACATTATTGTGGTCAGAAAAGATACTTGATATAATTCCAATATTCTTAAATAAGAATTGTCTTGTGAAGAATGTTCCATGTGTGCTTGAGGAGAATGGGTATTCTGCTGTGGTTACATAGAATCTTCTGCAAATATTTATCAAGTCGTTCTGCTCTAATGTAGCTAAAGACTAATGCTTCCATGTTGATTTTCTGTCTGGATGATCTATCTTTTTTTGTTGAAAGTGGAGAATTGAGTCCCCTAATATGATTGTATTGCTATCTATTTCTCTTCAGGTCTGTTACTATTTGCTTTATATTTAGGTGCCCCTGTGTTAGGTGTGTAAATAATTGCAAATATGATACCTCTTGTTAGATTGACCTTGATATCATTATATATGAGTTTATTTGTCTTTTGTGGATATTCTCACACTGATATAAGTATAGTTACTCTTAGTTACTTTTGGCTTCCATTTTAATGAAATATCTTTTTCCTTTCCTTCACTTTCAGTCTGTGTGTGTCCTTATCATTGAAATGAGTATCTTAGAGGCAGCACATAGCTGAGTCCTTTTTCTTTAGTCATTCAGTCACTCTGTGTATTTTGATTAAATGGTTTAGTCCATTTACATTTATAGTAATTATTGATAGATACATACTTACTATTCTCATTTTGTTCAGTCTTTTTCTGCTGTTTTGTAATTTCATTTTTCCTTCTTCTCTTGCTCTCTTCCTCCATGATTTAATGATTTTTGTAGTGGAATACTTAAGTTTCTTTCTCTTTATCTTTTGTGTATCTACTATAGTTTCTTGCTCTATAGTTNCTAAAACTCTGCATTTTAACTCTCCTCCATAAACATTTGTTTTTGTTAATATTTTACTTTTACTCATATCCATTCACAATTTATTGTAGTTATTTTTTAATGTTTTTGTCTTTTAACCTTAATTGTAGAGTTATAAATGATTTACCCACCACCATTAAAATTTTCTAAATTTAACTATATATTTACCTTACCAGTGAGGTTCACACTTTCATGGTTTTCATGTTACCGACTAACATCCTTTCATTTCAGCTTGAAGAACTATATTTAACATTCCTTGTGATTCTGCGCAGATGAACTTCTTCAGCTTTTGCTTATCTGGGGTTCCCTTTCTTTCACTTTCAATTATGAAAGACAACTTTTCTGGGCAGAGCATTCTTTATTGGCAATTTTTTCCCTCTAGGACTTCGAATCTATCATGTCAGTTTCATTTAGGATGAAGTTTCTGCTGAAAAATATTCTGATAGTTTTATGGTGGTTTCCTTATATATACCAAGTTGTTTTTCTCTCTGTTTTCAAGATTTTCTCCTTGTCTTTAACTTTTGACAGAAATTTCCTGCCTGACAATTCAACCATTACGATAGCGCCAGTTTATTTCAGGTGTGAGTTCAAACTGAAACATGCATGGCAGGTGCTAACATGGTAGAGAGGGTATTTTTGATTGACGATCACTCTGGTGTTAACACAGTGATCACAAAAAATATATATTTAAGAGTTGCAGTGTGAAGCACTGTGCAATGAATAGCACATTCTAGTGGTACATGAATATTACAGTATGATTTCACCATAAAAGAAGTCATATGCAACAAACCTGAAAATACTGTCACTCAAATATGTAACTACATACACACAGACACAGACACACACATACACATACACTTAATTGTATTATAAATAAGAAGTTTGGGCTATTTTGTGGAAATTGGA